TGTATGTGGTGCYGAGAACCGAACCCAGTGCGTCACATATRCTAGRCAAGCGCTCTGCCACTGAGCCACAACTCCAGTCCTTTAAGGAATTTTTAATTCTCATTTCTTTCGATGATTGAGTTCTACCTTAATTTTGTTGGCATCAGTGAGTATTTTTTGTATTCTTGGTCCTTTGTTGAGATTGGCTTCCTGGCTTAGTCGGCCCACTTTAGCAAATATTTGAATGTACTTGGAAAAAAGTGTGCATCCAGGAGTTCAATTGAGGATCCTTCTATCTTGCCAATTTGATCATTTTAAAACTCGAAAAGGCCTTTTTCAATTCTCACTAATGCTTTTTAGAAGTACCAATACAGTAAAATGCACAAACCCAAAGTGTATAGTTGCTCATTTTTTTCTGTGGAAACATGATTCAAATCAGAATTCTAGAATGTTCCATCACCCCCCAAAGCATCATGCACCTTAGTGGTTAACCACTCTTCTGAATTTCATGACCATTCAATAGTTTTACTTGTTCACGGGGACTGAACCCAGGGCTGCTCTACCATGGAGCTACATTCCCAGTCCTTTTTATTTTTTAAGACAGGGTCTTAGAAAATAAAAAGTTGCTGAGGCTGGCCTTTAACTTGCAATCCTCCTGCCTCAGCCTCCCAAATGGCTGGGATTACAATCCCGGGTCACTATGCCTGGCTACTCTTGATTTTTGAGTGGACGTCACTACTTCCATCTTTATCTTCTACACTAGACTGTCTTATTTATTTATTTTTTAAGTCCAGGGCTTTCTGGGATCCTAAACTGATTTTTCATTCCGTCCACAGCATAATTCATCCATCTCTGTTGAGTATTTTTATTTTTATTTTGGGGTACCAGGGATTGAACTCAGGGGGCACTTGGCCCTGACCCACAGCCCTATTTTGTATTTATTTAGAGACAGAGAATCACTGAGTTGCTTAGGGCCTTGCTAAATGGATGAGGCTGGCCTCCAACTCATGATCCTCCTGCCTCAGCCTCCTGAGCCACTGGGATTATGGGTATGCACCACCACGCTTGGCTGTAAGTACTTTTATACACCAGTATTTTTTTCCTTCAAGTCCCTTCTGTTTCAAATTGCTACTACCTTTTCTCTTTTAAATTTTGGTGAGCTCTGTCCCTCATCCAGTGACCCTTGCCACAGGGCCTCCTTAGACAGACAGGCTCTTCTCTGGTGTGTGTCCATCACAGTGGGTCCTGGTCCTCTGCATTCTTCCTCATATCCCAGCCCTCAGGGGAACCTTCTGGTTTCCCCCCTGTGCCCAGGTGACCTGTGTCGCTGCTCTTTTCATTTATATAAGGAGTCCCTGGGCCACCTTAGTTCCCTCGGCGTCCTCTGCTGGGTCACTGAGTCCCGTGTCCTCTGGGACCTGCTGAGAACGCAGGTAACGCTCGCCATGCACCTGACCCTCCGAGGTGACCGCTGTCAAGAGGCCAGCCCTGGTTAAGTCACAATGCCCCCCACCCACACCCTGAAAGCCTCTCACCCAGCATGTGCGTCCCACCTGGTGACCTTGGGCCAGTTTCTGGTCCTGGGAACTCCAGTTTGGACAGTGGCAGGTTGAACCAGGTGTCCCCGTGTCGTGGTTCTGAGATGAGGACACAGCACACTCAGGGACCAACCCATCTCCCTGCCCACCAGGTGCCAGCCAGGGGTGAGGGACACCTGCCGTGGCTCCTGACTCTGGGGAACTTCTTCTCCTTCAGAAAAACATCCTGAAGGCCTTCCAGGCCACCAAGAGGCCTCCTGTCCCCAAGGCCAAGATGATGCGAATCTCAACTCCCCTGGACAAGGGTGTCCACAACTACAGTGTCATGACCTTCAACTCCGCCGTGCTGGCCAAGAAGGAACTGTACCAAGAGATGGCCAAGGTGTGTGACAGTCCCCAGTGAGACCATGGCGGTTGGCTAACCCCCTGACCCTTTCCTCTCTGACCACAGGTCAGCGGGCGACTTAGGTGTGCAGACAAAAGCCAGTTAGTGGAACAAGAAATGGGGTCAGGTGCTGGGAGAATCTGGTGTCACACTCGATGTGCATGCTCAGCGCCTGCTCCGATTCATGGCTGAGAACCACTGTAGGGTCCTTGGCTCTGGTGAGGGCTTTGGTGTGACCACTTATGRAAGGCGGTTGGCACCTGGAAGGAAATGCGTTGGTTCAGGTCTCAGCACCCACTACGTGTAGGTAGCAATTTCATTTGTTAAAGGGGACAGTAAATAYGGCCTCTATGGGGTCAGGAGCTGTCATACCCTTAGCTGTTTCCAGTGCCCAATAGGACTCCTAATGGCCACTCCGCCACATCCAAGATGGCACCTGAGTCCTCTCTCCAGCCCACCTGCCTCTGCCACATCCAAGATGGCGCGGCTCTTCTCTCTGCCACATTCAAGATGGCACCTGAGTCCTCTCTCTAGCCCTCCTACCTCTGCCACATCCAAGATGGCGCGACTCTTCTCTCCAACCCGCCTGCCTCTGCCACATCCAAGATGGCGYGACTCTTCTCTCCAGCCCGCCTGCCTCTGCCACATCCAAGATGGCGCGACTCTTCTCCCCAGCCTGCCTGCCTCTCTTTCCTAGGAGCCAGGGAGGAGGTTCACATACTCACAGAACTACCTGTCGGCCATTGTGGAGCCTCAGGACTCGCAGGAAGAGAAGAAGAAAGCCCAGGAGAAATCCCGCCAGGCCTGGCTCACAGTCACTGGGTTCCAAGTGACAGGTCTCCATGGTGACATCCTCCATCAGGATTTCCCACTGCCAGCCATCGGGGAGTTCCATGAGGTTTGTGAGAGGAGCAGGGCTGTAGGTGGGTCTCCAGATGGCCTCCACCATCATCTCCAGAGCGGCCTCCTTCCTCTGAACCTCCTTGTCCCCCCAACTCAGGAGTGGCAGGAACACGAGGTGCTTGATCGCCTGCTGTACCCCATGTTGGATCGGGGCCGGTGGAGCTGGGACCGGCGCCACCTGGACTTTGAGCTGTACAAGAAGCCACAGCCTTTCCTGGAGGTGCCCCCTCCTCCGACCCGGAAGCCCGTTGCAGGTAACTGGGGACACCGTGCCCAGCTGGTAGGCAGGCGGGGGGACCCTGGCCCTTGGTGGCATCTTGAGCACCATCTGTTTGGTTCCAGGTGTGCACCTAGAGTTCCCAGGCTAGACCTCCTGGTACAGAAGGGTCTCGGGCTGTCCCAAGGGCTGGAACTCAGCTGTGGATTCCAGCCCCAGGTGTGACACCAAATGTGACGTGAGGTAAAGCCCCCTGCTTTCCAGGGTCCTCCCAGCCCCCAGATGCTGCTGGACCTCCCTCTGTGGGGAAGAGAGGAAAAGAGCAGGGGACTCGCCCCACCAGTCTCCCCAAGTCCTTCATCTCGTTTCTGGATTTTTTTTGGGGGGCTGTGTGTGCCAGGGATTGAACYCAGAGGCCCTCCACCACGGAGCCCCCTCCCCAGCCCTACTTTGTGTTTTATGGAGACAGGGTCTCGCTGAGTTGTTCAGGGCCTCACTTTGGCTGAGGCTGGCCTCCACCTTGCGATCCTCCTGCCTCAGCCTCCAGAGCCACTGGGATGACAGGCCTGCGCCCCCCGTGCCTGGCCTCCCCATCAATGAAAGGCATCACTGAAACACAGAACCCACATTTGTTGGTTGGCAGAGACAGAAGTTTGTTTCAGGAGGGAAGAGATGAGTTGATCGAGCCACAAGTTGGCCAGAAAAAGTTCCTCCGGGGAGCTAGCTCAACAAGCCCGAAACACAGGAGCTCTGAGCAGGAAGAGCAGGTCCCAGTGACTGGGCAGGAAGGCCACTATCTCCTGGTGCCTGGACTTGGCTCCTTCCCTCCCAGGTAAGCCCTGGGCCTTGGGAGTTTGGAGAAGAGGAGAGCCGGCCAGTGTGGGAACACGAGGCCTGTCTGCGTGGCTCCACGGCCAGCCTTCCCAGGTAAAAAAAGGCGACTGAGAAATGGAGGCTGGAGCGGCCTCTCCCCTGCTGCATCAAGTTCAAGAAATATCAGAACCTGTGAAGTGAGGAGGGGGACCTGGACTGTGGCTACGCCTCTGAAGCCCCACGGGGTGGGCAGAGAACTGGCACCACCAACAGGAGCCCTCAGGGCCCAGCAGTGGGGGGGTGTCTATGGCCCTTTCTTAAGTTTCTCCTGTTCAAAGGAACTCTGTGCAGCCTCCTGTCCCTGTCCCTGTGCACTCTCCGTTTTGTGCCCAAGGTCTCTTTGCCCTCACTAAATACAAGCTGGGAAAACAAACTGAACAAGAAATTTAGGTTTCAGCAGGGCGCGGTGGGGCACGCCTGTCATCCCAGTGGTTTGGGAGGCTGAGGCAGGAGGATCGCAAGGTGGAGGCCAGCCTCAGCAATTTAGCAAGGCCTGAGCAACTCAGGGAGACCCTGTCTCTAAATAAAATATAAAAACGGCTGGGGACGGGGCTCAGGGGTTAAGTGACCTTGAGTTTAATCCCTGGTACCAAAGTCACAAGACTTTATTAAGTCACCCAAACCGGAAGAACGCCCCAGCTTGGTCCACGGAGCCCTGGGCTCTCTGCGTTTCCACTCTTCTTGGGGACCACCCACTCTCACAGCACAGGGAAACTTGGAGCCCCAAGTCACCCAGGGGTGACAGGAGCTTAAAGGCCACCAGGTGAAGCATGGGACCCCGCGTGGCTTGCAGGCGCTACCAGATGGCGGCCGAGGGAAACGCAGAGGCCTCTTGAGGTCACCTACAGACGCCCCTCAGCCTCTTCAGGAAGAGAGGCCCTGCGTGGTCATGAGGTCCCACTGCGGCCACCAGAAGGCCCCAAGAGAAGGGACACTTGTGCAGCCCTAAGGTCAGGGACCAGGCCCTGACCTCTGGTGTTGGGGGCCCTCTTCTAAAGGGGTGAGTGAGGACAGAGGGCTCAGAAGACACTGCCAAAGGGTGGCTCTCAGAACGTTGCTGGTGTCCCTTAAAGGCTGGCTCTGAAGAAYGAGGTGACTCAAGGCCAGAGGGGACACCGACGGTGACATTTATATTCCTTTCTGTTGAACACTCCCCGGCATGTGCCTCCTACTTGGAGGTGACAAGGGCGCTGTTTCCCAGCTGTGGCTTGACCCTGTGGCTTGGTAGCAATGGCTGCCCGAGCCTCAGATGCCCGAGAGCTTCCTGTCACCAGCATGTCCCCAATCACCAGCACAGGGGCGACACTGGTGACAGCGATTCTCTTCCCTGCGCCTCTGCTCAGGAGCGGCGAGGTAGCCTCCTGCAGGACCTGCAGTCCACACAAGGGGGGCACACGGGGACAGAGGGTGGGGCCTGTGACTTCCTGCAGTTCTCCACCTTCTGAAGAGAGGGTCATGTCCAGTGTGAGCTGAGGCCCGGGGGCAGGGACACTGTCCTAGCGTCAGGACGTCCTCTCCAGAGGGTGGGCGCAGATGTACGTCCGCTTCTCGAGGATGTCCCTGGACACTTTCTTAATCTGCTCATCCAGGTTCTCTGGAGCATCTGGGACGGAAGAGAGGGACGAGGTGACCATTCTCCCCTTCACCCCTGAGCCCCGTCCCCAGCCCYTTTCCTATTTTATTTAGAGACAGGGTCTCCCTGAGTGGCTTAGGGCCTCGCTGAGTGGCTGAGGCTGGCCTCCACCTTGTGATCCTCCTGCCTCAGCCTCCTGAGCTGCTGGGGTGACAGGTGTGGGCCACCGTGCTTGGCTAATCCTATTTCAAATGCCCAGACTGTAGGGGGCTAGGAGTGGGGAGAGGATCCTGATCAGGAAATGGCCAAATGGAGGAGAAACCGTTTCAACCACCTTCTGTCACATGTGGCAGCCCTGTGGCGAGCCTGGCCAGCCCCCAGCAACCAGGAACCACTAGATGTCACTGGCCAATGTCCTGGCCATCGACCACACACCCGGGCTCGGCACTGATGCCGATCCAGAGCCTGTGGCCAACAGGACCGTGAGGGTCGGAGGACACCCTGAGTGACACGTTCCACGCTGTGGCCCAGGGGGAGGGAGGTGGCCAGGCACCCAGGGCAGCAGCTATGTCCCCGTGACCTCCTCTGGGCGGGTGCCAGGACAGGGCTGGGCASTGGGGCGGGTGCGTCTCAGCCGGTCTCCAGATGGCAGGAGGCCATGGGGACAGACCAGGCCTGGAACCCGTCCTGTCCCCACTTACCCTTGTCCAGCTGCGACAGGCTGAAGAGGTTCTGGACGTAGGCCTCCGTGCAGAACATGTTGGCCAAGAGGATCTGTGGGGGCCAGGGTCAGAGGGGACGGCTGCTCAGGCCCTGGAGCTGACCCAGCCCTTGGCCCAGCTGGGCCCACAGGCCTGGCGCAGGACTTCAGTGACCCCTAGCCACTCTGTCCCCTAGCGCGGGCTCCTCAGCCTTTGAGACGTGCGCTCCCTCTCCCGTGAGGTGGACGGCCACCCCGCTGACCATTCTGCCTGTGCCCTGGGCCAGCGCGCACGTGGCACACAGGTGGACTGGTCACTTTGCCCCTTTCTTCCCTCAGGTAGGGGGCCAAAGACGGAGCGTGGCCGGTTTCCTGGGCRGCAAGAACCGTCCTGTGGCCACAGTATGGCAAACCTGCCCAGCCTCCCGAGTGGCACCCTGGTGCGCCTCAGAACCTCGGCCTCTTCCAGTGACCGCCTGCACACGCCATGGGCCCCGGCTCACCCAGCCCTCCTGTCCCAGAAGTCCCTGGTGGGGCTGTGTCCCCCAGACCTGGGCTTCCCCAGCCACTGGCTTCATTAAAGTGCAGCAGGACCAAAGGCCTGGCTCACACGTCCCAGCCCTGCGTCTCCCTGCGGCTGCCACCTGCGCGTGATCTGTCCTCACTGYGTGGGGCCAGGGCGGGCTCACCTCRTGGTCATGGTTTCGGAGTCCGATGCGGATGGAGCGGCTGGCCCGGGACAGCACGGCCACCATGCCGTACAGGTTGATGAGGACGTTGGCCACCCGCTTCAGCACCAGCTGCTCCTCCACGATCGTCTGCGGACGAGGCTCAGYGTGGAGACCAGACACTTGGTCCCCTGGCCCTGCCCCCTGGACACACCTCTCTTTTTTTTGGTCCCAGGGATTGAACACAGGGACACTTGACCCCTGAGCCCCGTCCCCAGCCCCTTTTCTATTTTATTGAGAGACAGGGTCTCGCTGAGTGGCTCAGGGCCTTACTAAGTGGCTGAGGCTGGCCTCCACCTTGCGATCCTCCTGCCTCAGCCTCCTGAGCTGTTGGATGACTGACAGGCAGGGCCACCCGCCCTCTTTGTCCTGTCTGCACTTGGGCAGGTGTAAGGCCAGCCCAGGTCCCTGGGCTTGGTGTGCTCAGGTCACCTTCAGGACCACGTGGGGTCACCCCGTGGACTCAGGCCGGGTAGACAGGCTGTCCCCTCCCCTTGTTCCAGGGGGCCTGTGTCCATCTAGAAGGTACCCTGAGAAAACACACCCAGCAGGCGATCCCAGGGGCAGGCGAAGCCAGCTGACTGCCCCTGTTCAGAGTGACCAAGGTGTCTGTCCCAGGCATGGTCCCAAAGGTGGCCGCTGGCCAGCTGGCTGGCTGTGCCCCTGGTTGCCACRGCCTGCTCACCTTTCCAAAGCGAAGCAGCAGATTCTCCACGGTGCGGCCAAAGTAGTACACGTTCTCCTCGAGCTTGTTGGCACTCTCCTGTGGCCACAGGACAGGGCAAGGCTGGGCGCCCGTTCCCCACTGGGCCCAGTCCTGTCCCACRTGACAGCTCACAGCCCAGTGCTCCAGGGCCCATGGGGCACCAGCAGGAACCCGGAGCCCTAGCGCACCCTGTGCATGGGACCCTGAGGCTGGGCGTCCCCATGCGGGTCACTTGCTGGGCCTACTCACCCCGAGGCTGGGGTGGACCACTCCGAGGTTGCCCGTCAGCCCCAGGTCCACGGTGCGGCCCAGAGAGTCCCGGATCCTCCGGCCCACGGTCTCCATGATGGTGCTCACGTTGCCACGTTTAAGTTCACTGCAGGGAGTTCAAGGTCTCAGGACCTGGGCCCCGACACTGGCCCCTGCTGCCACCAACACAGCCCCCCACGCACCCCAGCGCCCTGTCGCCCACCCCAGCAAGACATGCAGGGCTCCTGGGCCAGGGCGACTCTGGGCCTGCAAAGGGCAGCTGGGCCCCTCATGGGGCCTGTGCCTGTGGCCAGCAAAGGAGGCTGCCACCTGGGACCAGGGCAAGATGGGGCAGGAGAGTGACAGCAGAGGAACTGGCCTCTTGCTGGCCTTGGGGACAGCCTCTCTCCTCAGTTTCTGAAATGCTGGCCACCCCCGGGGTGGTGACGGGGCTGCCTGTTGGAGGTGGATGGTGCTTAGGGACCGATGGCTGTGTGACCCTAGGGCAGGCCTCTGTCCCCCGGCTGGAGGACTAGCCCTGGCCTGGCTTCCTGGGCCCCGCAAGGCTGTCCCAGGACCGTGCATCCCTTCCCTCTGCTCTCTGCTGGCCAGACAGGGCCCCAGAAGCCACCGTGGGAATGTCACCTACTGGATCCTCTCGGTCAGGATGCGGCCAGCGTGCTGCAGGCCTGTGAGGGCGATGAACATCCGGAGAATCTCGTTGGTCCCCTGTGGCCAGYGGRGTGGAGGTCAGCAGCTGAGCCRGGAGGTGGCCCAGCAGGGCTCCGGGGATGGCAGGCCAGGTAGTGCCCACCGCCCGCAGCAGCGGCTTCCACCTCGGTGGCAACCCGAGCAGGGGACAGGAGGCAGGTGCCCAGGGAGGTGCCCATGGYAGACAGTTGGCATGGCCTCTTGAGGGGACCAGTGCCTCCCCTGGCCAGCCTTGCGGGGTCACCAGACTCCGTGACCAAAGTACCCCAGCTCTCCCGGGTGCCAGAGGCACAGCAAGAACTGGACACAAGGGACACAAGTCCGCTGGCTCTGGGCTGAGGCCAGACTCCTCAGGGAGGCTGCTGATGGCTGGGTGCCACCTTTGTGCCCAGGTCCCTCCTGGTGGGCACAGCCCTGGCCTGGGGTCTCCCGGGCCCTGGGAGAGTCCTTGGATCCTCCCACCCGCGACCCTCGACGGCTCCAGACCTGGGTCATCATGTCCCCACTGTCCCTGACCCCTTTCCCAAGGCCACCATTTTGAGCCAGGCCACAGGTGGAGGTGTGGCTGGTGCTTCTAGAAAGATCTCCTTGCTCTCTCTCGCTCTCTCCACCACCCGGGCTCRCCCTGAAGGTCCTGGGTAGCCTGGCACGTTCCATTTCCCTGTTTCTTGGCCCAAACTGCCCCTCGCTAACCCTCATAAGGCCACCTTGTCCCCAAGGGCCAAGGGCACCTGCTTCACAGGACGCAGCTCCCCGGGAGGACGCGTCTTCCACTGCACGGGGACCACGCACCCTCCTCGGGCATCCGGGGACACCAAGGTTGTCTCTGGCCTGGCCCTGGCCCTGTCTGGCGGTCACTAAGCTGACCCTTGAGCTGGGACTGGAGCCAAGGTCTCCACAAAGTGTCTGTCCCACACCGTGTGCCGGAGGGAGCTTGGACCACAAAGAGGTCCCAAGGGACCTTGGGCTCAGGCCTGAGCCAGCTGCTCGGCCTCCCTCAGCCTCTACCCTGGGCCACGTGGAGCTAGGAGGTTCCACGGGGGGACACGGCCTGTCCCGGGCCCTGTGGCTGTGGCTGGGCCCTGGATAGCACTTCCCAGGTCCAAGGAGGCAGCGAGGGGGGACGGGGTGCAAGCAGGGCTCCCGGGGACACGGCTGGACGGGTCTCACCTCGAAGATGAGGAGGATGCGGGCGTCGCGCAGCATGCGCTCGTAGGGGTAGTCCTTCATGTACCCCGAGCCCCCCAGGATCTGSAGCGCCTCGCTGACGCACTGCCAGGCGCCCTCGGAGCTGAACACCTGCCACAGACCAGGGTGACATCAGCACTGGGGTTCTTGGGGCCGAGTCCCTTCACGAGGACGTGGGCCTGGGGGAGCTGTGGCCGGGGACGGCTGGGGACTCTGTTGGCAGAACTGGGACGTGAGGACGAGACTGACCGCAGGAGGAAGTCACCAGGTGACCATAGGCAAGGCCTTCGGCAAGTCCTGGGACACAGTGACCAGCTTCCTCCAGGACCTCCCGTGCCTCTTCAGCCTTCCTCCACCCCTTCCCCTCCTGGTCGCCTCCTGGGCTTTCAAGAACCACATGGGGCCGGGTGCTGGGTCACACGCCTTTAATCTCTGTGCTCAGGAGGCTGAGGCAGGAGGATCGCAAGGTGGAGGCCAGCCTCTGCCACTTAGGAAGGCCCTGAGCCRCTCAGCGAGACCCTGTCTCTCAATAAAAAAATAAAAAGGGCTGGGGATGGGGCTCAGAGGTTCAATCCCCAGGACCCCCGCACCCTAAAAAGGAGCTCAATTAATTCCAGAGACCAGGGCCTTGGACCTGCTGGGCCACCCGCCCAGCCTGCCCGCCATCCGCCATCTTGTGTATTAGAGCTAAAAATGACACTCTCCAAACAAGAGCATCGGGAAACTCGGGGATCTACCTGATGGAACATTCCAGAAAAAACATTCTGATACCACCAAGAAGCCCATGAGCTCAAAATAAAAGACGCCCTTCTCAGGAGAGCCCGGCTGCTGTGTTATGTACCCTCACGTGAGGTCATGAGGGCTGAGCTGGCTCCTGTGGCTCCAGGCCACCAAGGGCCAGGCAGAGGTCAGCACCCTGGGACACTGCTGCAGCTGTGGCCGCACCCTAGGGCCGCCCTCACTACCCCTGGAGAGCTTCCCACAGGGCCACAGCATCAGGGTGGACCCAGGACGAGCTGACCTATAGACTACGGAGAGACACAAAGTGGGGCGACACTGTGGGGTGCAGGGAAGGGCCGCCCTGGGTAGCTCTCGTGCCAGCGCTGGGCTGTGCCGGGGTTACCTTCACCATGGCCGCCTCCATGGAGCAGTCAGGCAGCTCGGGCTGGTCCAGCATGCCCGCCGTGAGGTAGGCCATGCTTTCCATGACGTAAGCCTTCTGAGCCATGAGGGCGAACTTCTCCTGGAAGGTTCAGGAAGACACAATCAGGAAGCCATCTGAGGGTGGGCTGGGGCGCAGGGTGCTGGCCTACCATGGGCGAGGCCCTGGGTTCCACCCTCAGCACCACCAAAAAAGAAAAAGATGCCATCTGAGCTAGGCGCAGTGACGCGCACCTGTCATCCCAGTAGCTTGGGAGGCTGAGGCAGGAGGATCGCAAGGTGGAGGCCAGCCTCAGCCACTTAGCGAGGCCCTGAGCAACTCAGTGTCTCTAAATAAAATATAGAAAAAGCTGGGGACAGGGCTCCATGATGAAAAAGGGTTCAATCCCTGGTTAAACCCACAAAGGTGGTGGCCAGGCCAGAGGCCCTGCTGTCCAGGAGAGCCACGCCCAGGCGCGCTCATCAATGGGACCTCTGTCCAATGAGGCCTCGCCCCGTCTTCTCTCCAAATCACCCACAAGACACTGCAGTACGGAGACAACAACGGGACACACTTTCTACACCCACCAGGTGACACCACAGCCCCTGGTACCTGGATCAATCCAAATTCACTCAGAYGCTTGTTGAACTGCTTCCGCGTACAAGCGTAGTCGGCCGTCAGTTCTGAGAAGGGGTGTGAAAAAGAAGCAGAGTATTCCTGAGTAGCCAAAAATGATTCCCAAAGGTCCCTGCTGTCACCTTCCAATACCCAGCAGGAACTAGCAGAGAAGTGTGAGCTGCCAGACGCCCTGGCCCACGCCCGTCACCCCAGCCGCTCAGGAGGCTGAGGCAGGAGGATCGCAAGGTGGAGGCCAGCCTCAGCCACTTAGCGAGGCCCTGAGCCACTCAGCGAGACCTTGTCTCTAAATAAAATAGAAAAAGGGCTCGGGACGGGGCTCAGGGGTTGAGTGACCCTGGGTTCCATCCCTGGCATCCCCCACCAAAAAATAAGTAACAAAAGAATCAAATCAGCTGACACCCGATGTCCCCAAAGTCAGAGCCCCATTTCCAGCGTCTGGGTCGGAGGCAGGACACTGCTTCTCCTGGGCCTGCAGGCAGCGGGCACAGGGGACCGACATGGGTTTTAGTCTTGGCACTGCTCATGTGGGAGCCTGGCCATGCCCCACCCAACACTGACTCCCCCGAGTGGCTGTGATGAGGTGACCAGGGGGTAGGCAGGGGGTGCCCAGCGAAGCCAGTTCTCTGAAAGCTCTCAGTGAGCCRGACTCAGGAGGCTGGGGCAGGAGGATGGCAGGTTTGAGGCCAGCCTCAGCCACTGAGTGAGGCCCTGTCTCGAGTCCCCTGGGCCAGGTGGTCTCCAGGTGTCCACGTAGGGACAGGCACACGGACCCAGGCAGGTCGCTGGCCAACAGAAGAGGAGGGACATGGGGAACGTGGAGGCTCCTGGGCCAGAGTGGGGACAGCAGGGCCAGACAGTGCCACCACGGGTCCCGGCCCTGACTTACCTACCAATCAGTTTCTTGAGCATGCCGGCCACCGCGCTGCCCATGCTGAAGCGCCCGCTGTTGAGGATGTTCATGGCCACCTGGGGGGAGCAGGCAGTGAGGGAGGAGGGGACAGATCGCTCCCACCTGTTTCCCAAAGAGGGTTCTTCTTTTTATGGGGGAGGGGGCCCTCGATCCCTGAGCCCTGTCCCCAGCCCGATTTTGTACTTTATTTAGAGACAGGGTCTCGCTGAGTTGCTCAGGGCCTTTTTTGCTGAGGCTGGCCTCCACCTTGAGATCCTCCTGCCTCAGCCTCCCGAGTAGATGGGATGACAGGCTGCGCCACCGTGCCTGGCCCCAGCACTATGATTTAAAAACAAAAGTCGCCATGGTGATTGGGGGAAAATGACTGCTTTCATACGCAAAGGAAAAGAGACTTCTGACATTTTTCTGGGTTCCTAGTGTGCTTGCTGCCCTCAGCCTGAACAGGAAACAGAATGGCACACTCCAGTGAATCCAGAGGTCTCAGTGTGACCAAAGGCCAGGTGACAGGGAGCGGCTGCTGGGAGGGCTCTTCCCTCTTGGGTGCTCAAAAGGTTATATCAATAGAAGCAGCAGCCAAGTGACAGGGAGGGGCTGTTGAAAAACGGACTGAAGAGCGKAGCTGTAAACATAGGAGGAGGCCGGGGCGGGGGCACACCAGCAGCTCAGGAGGCTGAGGCAGGAGGATCGCAAGGTGGAGGCCAGCCTCAGCCACTTAACACGCCCCTCAGCAACTCAGCGAGACCCTGTCTCTCAATAAAATATAGAATAGAGTTGGGATGGGCCTGAGGGGTCGAGGGCCCCTGGGTTCAATCCCGGAGACCCCCTCCAAAAAACACCCACTCAACCAGCTACTCACCTTAAAGCCCCCTCCAACTTCTCCAAGGACATTTTCCACGGGGACCTTGGTGTTTTCAAAATGCACTTCACAAGCTGAAATATGAAACATAAGACTTTAGCAGACAAATACAAACCACTGTCCCTGGACCCCAGGMATGTGCTGCACTCATTCTGTTATGGTCTGGATCGATCAACACAATTGATAAGRTATTGATTATCGATCAAGAAACATGGATTAGGAAAATAGTAAGTAGAGCCATAGTGACTCCATCTTTGTTTTTAAGAATTATTAAGAATTTGAGGCTGGCGTGGTGGCTCAGTGGCAGAGCGCTTGCCTCCATGCAGGGGGCACTGGGTTCTGATCCTCAGCACCACATCAATGTCAAACAAAGATATTGTGTCCACCTAAAACTAAGAAATACACATTTAAAAAAAAAAATTTGTTTTTCTGTGCTTCATCCATCTGCAAACRTACTTGGACCCAGGATGTGGGGTCCAACTTAGTCTGTTCACTGCTTTTCTGAGTCTTTAAACCCTGAACTGTGGATAACAATCCCAGTGGATCAGGAGGCTGAGGCAGGAGGATCCCAAGTTGGAGGCCAGCCTCAGCAACTCAGCAAGGCCCTAAGCTACTCGGTGAGACCGTCTCTAAATAAAATACAGAATCCCATGCAATTCGCAAACTCCATAGGATGTGGTTTTCTTCCTTAAATACTGGACCACAGACAGCCTGGCGCACTTCTGTGACAGGCCGCTGCACGTGGCAGAAGTGTCCCTGGCCGGGCAATAAGCTCTCTAACTTGTTTCAGATTCAGGTGTCCCCTGAGTCGTGTCCCTGTGCCGTTCAGCACGTGCAGGGACAGGACAGGGCAGGGCTCCTGTCTTGGTGGAGCTCGGGTGTTGGTCAGGGAGATGAAACTAGAAACTGCTGATCCCCGTGGGCAGGACATTGGCTCCCTGCCAGGCTGTCATCCATTACATACATAAAAGCAGGACTCAGGCTGGGCGCGGTGGCCCACGCCTGTCATTTCAGCAGCTCGGGAGGCTGAGGCAGGAGGATCGCAAGGTGGAGGCCAGGCTCAGCCACTTAGTGAGGCCCTGTCTCTAAATATTTTTAAAAAGGGCTGGGGACAGGGCTCTGTGGTCAAACTCCCCTGGTGAGCCTCAGTGGCCCTTCATCTCTCTCCAGCTTCTACAGGGGAGAACAAAACTGCACCCTGCAACTTCCTGAGCCCAAAGCCAAGGTCCAGACGAGCTGAGGCTGAAAGCAGCCCCTTCCTCCGCTGCTTGGTTCTGCACCATGGGTCCCCGGCCCCACAGCGACTGTGTGGAGGGCTCTGGTGGAACTCAGGCTCCCTGGGCCCCAGGCAGGGACAACAAGTCGGCTTGGGAGGGCAGGAGGGGACGCGAGAGGACGCAGGCTCCAGCCACGAACGAGGGGGTGGCCTGTCCTAGGATTTTACCTACGACACTT